GGGGGCGGGCGGTGCAGGTCGAGACCGCACTGGTGATTTCACGTGGGCGAGACCCTCAGAGCCTCGGCCTGCGCGATGGTGCTAGGTAGCGCTGCTGTGCGTTAGACTACGCTCACCGAATGGCACAGGCGGGAAGGGATCGTGGTTGGGGGGGCGGCGTAGTCGTTGGTATGGGTGGAGAGGGATTGAGACGTAATGTTAGGTTGCAGGGCGACGGGGGGGAGGATAGGTGTCGGATGGGGTGGGAGGTTCAGACTTATCGCGTCGTTTCTTTCTGCATGGCTCGCATGCAGTGTAGTGAGTCGTCCGACTCTTGCCAACGGGGCAGCAGGGTGGCTGTGGAGTAGTCCTTGTTTCCCTCCCGATTGCCTCCTGCTCTTGGTACAGCTGAGTGGCACTTGTCGACGTCGCGTGTGGCATCCTGGGGAGTGATGGAGGTGGCTCCTGTACCGAGGTTGTGGCTGTCGAGCCCTCCAGCTGGCGGCAGCTCCTCGTCTGATGAAACTTGGTGGCACCTTCGTGACACTGGCGTTGGTGTCCGTGGTCTGGCGGCGTCTATGTCTCCTCTGCAATGGCACTTGGAGGTGGGGCTCGAGGGTGTGGAGGTGGATGGGGAGGTGGCTACAACCCTAAAGGTGGTACGATGGCGAGCTTGCTCGCCCACTTCGAACATTCGAAGTTTGGCGGGCGAGGCGATGAGCGTTGTGGGCGGGAGCTGGAGGCGCGGGCGAGACCGCGCTGGCGATTTCCCGTGGGCGAGGCCCTCGTGGGCGCGGCCTGCACGATAGCGCTAGGTAGCGTTGCAGTGCGTTAAACTGCGCTCACCGAACGGCGCAGAATTAAATTCTATAATTACATGTAGTTGAATTTTATAGTGAATTGGAATAATGAAACAATTTGACTTGTTATTTTTTGGCTTTTTATCTTTTTTTGGGAAGATAAAAAGCCAAATTTTCAGTAAAATCATTTTGATAAGAATGAATGATAAGTATTCTCTTGTAAGTATAAATACACGCCCTCCGAACCGTACGTGACAGTTTCCTGTCATACAGCTCTCCATCAGCGTTCAGTCTCGAACGCATAACACTTGCTATCTAATTGCCCTCTTCTACTGGGCCTCATAAAGCATTGCGCAAAGTACGAAATTGGAAAAACACAAAATGGTTAGTGAAGGGCGAAGCTCAGTGTATAAGCGGCGCCTTGTTATCACAAATTCAAGATCAAACGTTTTTAGACATCTTGAAAGCAAAAGGCTGGCATCGCCTGGCAAGCTTGCGCCTGAGACAGTTTATTTCTTTGAGGGCCGGGAAGCACAGTGCATGGAAAAAAAGAGGCTTGGAGGGACTGGTGGTTTAAAGCAAACCATGGCTATGATCTGGACGCTCGAATCCTAATGTAGATGGTCTGGGTCCGGATGTTCTTGTCGGCTGTCCAGTTCGGACCACGCGGTATCCGCTCCCTCCCCTAAAGAACAAAAAAATGCGGCCTTATATATATATATATATATATATGGAAAAAAAAATGTTATGCAGCATTGCAACATATTTCTTTTGTGGTAGAGGTCTCAATCTCGCTTACAACATGCATACATGTATGTGCCGATGGCAAATCAACTTCATCAACTCATATCCAACAATGAACTTGCACTGGCGACATGCACCCACACAGATAACTCAGAGATATAGCCTCTGGCCAGAACTCCACTCAAGGCAACTGTTACAAGTTGCGGCTACGGCCGCCGAACACTGTCTGCACCATCAGCCTCACTCTCCCTCATGTACACACTCACGAAGATCCACCCTGAATGTCTGCACTTCACACTGTGCACTCAGCTGACATCAGCAGCTTGGTGGCTATGGCCACCGTCTTCTTCCTCCTCTCAGCTATGGCCGCCTTTGTCTTCCTCAGCCCGCTTCAGCTTCGGGCACCTGGAGACCACCTCCTGCACACGTTGCTCCAACAGCGCTTCTGCATGGCTCATAGGCGAATGAATGAATGATTGAACACTGCCTCGTTATTTATACTTGGTCGCAGGTGGCCTGGCCTGCCCCATCCCTGGGCCAAAACGCGTGGGACTGTGGGCCCCAAACCGCATGGGCCTGGGGATGTCCCAAACCGCATGGCCTGGGGCTGTCCCAAACCGCGTGGACCTCCTGGGCCAAAATGCATGGGACTGCAGGCCCCAAACCGCGTGGCACCCCGCTTGGTGCTTGCTGACTGGACGGGGTGGACTGTTTCCCATGCTGACTCAGACACGTGGTGGACTTGGTCTACGATCTTCTAGAAGTCTACAGACTAACTAGCTAAGCCTAACGGTAACACCCCGAACTGCTAACACGAGGACCTATGGATCAAGACGTACGACAGACTAACACGCTGACTAATTAACCAAAGGGATTTAGGAACAGGGCGTGTGTTTAAATCTCACATAGGGTCATAGGGCCAATGTACAGGGTCATGAGGTGTAGGAATCGAGTCCTACTGTCTGCATCTGTCAGGTAAACTGGGTGAAACCGTTTCACTCCCGCCGTCCTAAATTCGAGGTCCTTTGAGAACTTTCTAACTCAAGACAAAACCTTTACCTTTCCTTGCCCTTTCGTAAGCATGTACTATGTCGGGAGCGGTTTCTAGCAGCTCGGTTAGTGTGAACCATCTGTCGTCCTCGGGTTCCTGATAGGCAAACCTGACCTTATACTGTTTTTGGGGACAACCTCGACCTCCGGTTCTGAAAACGTCCTCTTCCGCTATGCGATCTAATATCGTATGCGCCATCCATGTCTGGTGGACTCATGGACCTCCGCGAACGAAACTGCTCACTGGAGGTGCAAGGCAACAACTTGGACGCATGGAAGACTGGGTACGTATGGAGATGCGGCAGTATCTCTATCGTGTATGACGGTCCGTCCTCTCCTCCTTTAACTTCTAGGACAGGCCACGGTGCTCTATATGCAGGTAAGAGCTTCTAAGAGATGTTCTCCTCATGTGCGAACTTTTTAGACTTGACCCAGACTAAGTCGCCTACCTGAAACTGCGAAGGTCGGTGATGCTTGTTTGCTTGTTCAGTCATACAGAGTTGGGCTTTCCTAAGGTTCTCGACAAATCTAGCAACTTCTTTCCTGTGTTGCAGGGCGAACTCTCTTGTGCCGGGGGGTAACCTTTGAATCTGATCCCGGTTTAGCCCTTCAAACGGCCTACGTGGTCTAAAGGACTTGTGTAGCGCGTTAGGTGTTCGACAAGTAGTTAGATGCACACCGTTGTTATACGCGCTATCTACCTTTGGGAGCATCTCATCCCAGTTCACTTGATCTGGTCCAATGTACATTCTTAGTAATTGCTGCACGATCTTATTCATTTGCTCCGTCTGGCCGTTTGTCTCTGGATGACGACCTGACGACATCAACAACTTAGAGCCGTATACTTTCATAAGATCTTGCCAATTCTGATCTAGGGCCTCCAGTGATCTAGGGCCTGCCACGTAGGGATAGAGTCCTACTGTCTTCATCTGTCATGTAAACTGGGTGAAACCATCTCAATCACCTCGAAATCCGTGGCCAAATAAGAGGGGAAAAATAAAAACCATCTTTTTTTTTTTTTTTTTTTTTNTGCCGACGCCGTGGTATTTCGGCAGCATAACCCCACAAAAATGGGTTATGGTTGCCGAAAATATCGGCCGGCACACCTCCACCAGTTGTCGTGTTCCCCGCTCCTCCTTGCCACGCTCCGCTGCCGCTCCTCACCATGTTGTCGCAGAGTCTCACCAGAGACCAGCCTGCCAAGGGGTGGAGCAGAGTGCTCCAGCCAAGGCTATGGCTGTCTCCTCCTTCGTCCCGCTCCCTGTCTCTTATACACATCTAGATGTGTATAAGAGACAGCATCTGGACAGAGGTCGGCCGGACATCTGGAATGGTCCAGTGTCCGGGTCCGGCGTAGCCATGAAGCAAACCAAACCAAACCAAAAATCGATTATGTTGGTGACTAAGCTAGGAGCCTGTTATCTACTTCTTCCCTCTCATTTCCTTTTGTTTTTTTTTTCTCTAGCTTTGTCTTTTCCCTTCTTTTTGCTACCAATAACATTGTTCACATTTTGTGCTGCTGCAGGCTTCTGGTCAATTCCCAAATTTCTGTTTTTTTTTTAACTTCCGGCGGAGTTCGAAATTCGGTCTTGTCTTTCAACAGTTCAGGTGTGTACCAACTGAGCTAGGCCAGTTGGCTTTTTTTTTTTTGTTTCCAATTTTTTTTCTTTTCTTTTCCAAACTTCTTGGTTTTGAATTCCTATTTATATATTGTCATGTTGTCTTTTTGTGTTGATTACAGGGTCTCAATCCCTTGCTCTTTCTGCACAAATTGCCGAGTCTTGAGATTGTGGCGAAGTTGGAAGGTACGTCCACCACGCTTTCCTCAGCTGGATATCTCTGATTCCTTTGGCACACCTGGGGTGAGGTCCCACTAACAAAGAGGATTGGATTAAGCATCTGAATCTGGACGTGCTCTATGCGGAAATGCAGAAAAGCAGATCAAGCTCAATTTTCTGCACCTCTCCACAAACGTGTCCACATTCAGGCCCTCAATCCAATCCTCTTTGCTAGGACGTCGCCCCTGGGGTGAGGTGTCACTTGCAGAGATTAAGAGATAATAATAAGATATTGACTGTCGACCTTCATAATCTATGGCCCATGTTAAAAAAAAAAAATTCTCTCTTAATCCATGCAAGTGTTGTCCCCTGTGTGGTGCGCTGTGCACTGGACCAACACAAGTGGTGCGGGGCACTAAGGGTTTTTAAGTTTATGCTTTGGGTTTTAAGCACAGATCTACGTAATAGAGAAAGAAGAACGAATAAAAAAATCACTTTTTAATTTTGTAATCCTTTTTTTTTTTTTTTTTTTTTTTTTCTTGCAAATGTACTTTGCTGGCAGATGTGACAGAGCTTGAGGTTTCGGTCCTGGAATTCTCTAAGAATGGATCAAGGCTTCTGGCTGCCGGGCGTCTTCCAGACTGTAGCTTGGTAAGATACTTGACACCGGTGTTTTGGGTGGGTGGGTGGCTGGGTGAGGTGAGGGAAGGAGAACTTGGGAAGTGAGAGGCGATGGCCGAGGGAAAGACATGCAGAGGCGGAGAAGATACTTTGTGGGGTAATCTCAATTGAATACGCAACGTTGCTGAATTATGAATGTTTTTTTTTTTTTTTTTAAGAGCTAGGAAGATTCCAACGACTGGCCGGTCTGGACCGGTTGGTCGTCCGGGCGTCATGCCCAGGCAGGTGTGACTACCGGGTCACCCGGTCGTGTAAAAAAAAATAGCCTTTTTTTTTCTTTTTTTTTTATAGGTCGGTGCAAATTGCAACCGGGGGCTCGACCGGGGGTCCCGACCAGCCAGTCGCCCGGTCGCCAAACCGGGCGTGGCGTCGGGACCCGGGCGCACAGGATATCGCCCTAGTTAAAGAGTTCTTTTTTTTTTTTTTCATAAAGCTCAGTTTGTTATAGAGGCCAGGTTCCAGACATACGGTGGTCGCAGTCATCTGTCAGGCGTTGGTTGTCCTGATAATGTTTATTTGTGAGACCGCCTCCCTACCCGTCCTCTCGTCAATTCTCCCATCATACCCCTATTCCCACCATCCTACCTCAGTGTCAAACCACCAGTACCTTTCCCATACATCGGCCGCGGGCCCTGTGCGCCAAGGGCGGCCGATGTATGTGGCCATTGGCAGAGGCTGCGCCTCAGCATTTTGGCTGGGAAAGGTACTGGTGGTTTAATCACTGGGAGGACTACTACCCCAGCATAGCATCTTAGGCGTTGTTTGGACAGAATAACAGTTAAGAGGCACCAGCACCAGGCTGATAACCCCACCCAGCCCTAGTTGAAGCATGATCAGGCGAGCCTTGTCACACGGGTATGTCGGACGCCAAGCTCGAGCAGCATTTCTATCTGTCCCACGTACTACCCTAGTTCCTAACAGCATATCCCTGACCAAATATCTGATAGGGTCCCCCATCCAAAACTGAAAAAAAAAAAAAAAAAGAAACAGGTGGTGGGAGAAGGGAAGACATCCAAAAGTGGATAAGATGTTTTGTTTTATCAAAAGTTTCAAAACTACAAGGGCCTCACTCAACTACTCGCCACATGCATCATGGCTGTGTATCTTTCCATGTTCTAATTCTCTTTTTTTTTTTTTTTTTTTCATTCTCATTCTGACCAAGTGGGAAGTAGTGGAGGGAGGCCCTTAGGCCTAACTTCCGCCTAAGCCAGTGTAAGGTAATCAAAATCCACAATGTTGGTGAATTATGTATGAGGCACTATTGAATTGAATAAAAGACTGATCTATGAATGGGAACTAAATTAAAATAATAATTTAGTTTAGTTTATTATTTTAATTATTATTTTAAATAATAATCCAGCGGCCTAGCTCAATTGGTTAGGCACGCAAGTGGCATTCAGGAGGTCGTGGGTTCAATCCCCATGGCCGCCTGTAGCACTCTTGGTGCCAAGTTGCCAACCAACTGAGATAGTCAGCTAGATCCTCCCAGCAGTATTAGTAAGGTCTTCAGCCATCACTGTTGTGAGTGCGTGTGCGAGTGAGTTGCGTGCGGGGTGTGGGAGAGTGTTGGCTTTAGACACTAATGTTACTCGATGGGGGTGGCGGAAGATGAAAAGAGAGGCACAGTTACTGGCAAATGCTTGGTCCTTGCATTAGCCGGGCCCCCACCGAAGGCCCCAACCCTGCACCCTAAACGCTAGGGCATGCCGTTACCCCTCTCCACCGAGAGAGGTAACCTTCCTTCACCGAAGAGAGGTAGAAAGCTATGCTTGCAGGGGTTCCCTGTATAGCCTTAGGAGTAGTGGTAGGTAATGAAAAGAAAGATATGTTCCATGACATGGCAGAACGCCAGTTGAAAGATATGTGAGGTAATAAAAAAAATAAAAATAAAATAATGATTCAAAATTCAAATAAATAAATGAAGTCCACAATATTGAGAGATTGGGCATGAGGATGTCCAAGTGTCATTTTTTTGTTTTCTTTATTTTTCTGAATAGCTTTACCTATGCATTCCCCCAACTCCTGTTGACTCTGTTCTTCCCTTTTTTTTTTTTTTTTTTTTTTTTTTGACCAAGTTGACTCTGTCCTTTCAACTCCTGTCAAATTCTCTCAAGTGCTGTTTAAAAAAAAAAAAAAACAGAACCCAAGGGTTCCTGCTCCATTTCCATTCTGGGGGGCATTATTTCCATTCCGGCTCCATTTCCATTCTCTCAAGCGCCAGGGCCAGATCCTAGTGGCAAAGAGGATTGGAATAAGTAACAGCGATTTCGTCAAAACGGACATTTTTTATTTTCTGTACGAAATTGTCCAAACTGCAGCCAAAATTTGATGAAATTTTGGGTAGGGCGTTCTGAAAACGCCCCACCCAAAATTTCATCAAATTTTGGCTGCAGTTTGGACTTTCAATTTCGTACAAAAAATAAAAAATGTCCGTTTTGACGAAATCGCTGTTAAGTGGCTGAATCTGGACGTGTTCCACGCAGAGATGCAGAAAAGCAGATCAATCCTAGGCTACCAGAGTGGCCCGGCGTCACTTGCCCGGCAGGGCCAAAAAGATTATATATATATTTATATGTGACGATATATATACGATATATATATATATATACAGGGTCACCAGCCCGTACGTACGGAGGTCCCCGGGCAGACCTCCGTACGTACGGGCGTTCGGGGTCCCGTACGGGCTCCAAACCCGACGACGTTCGGCCCCACCAAAAATTATTTCGAGGCCTAAAAATACTTTGTTTTTTCTGAATTTTTTTCTGTGAGTTCTCTATGACGCGAGGTACATGATTATAAATTTTCAAGTCATTTGGCTCAGCCAAATAAGAATTAAAAATCGCCAAAGATGGCGGTGTCCAAATGTGCTCGCCCACATTTTTTTTCACTTTTTACTTTTTGTTTTCACTTGAGTTCGGGGTCTAAACAATTTTATTATTTTTTAAAACGTTTTAAGTGGGTTTTGCATTATGTGAAGTACACATCTGCAAATTTTCAGGGCATTTAGCTATGCCAAAAAAAAAAAATGAAAAATCGCCAAAGATGGCGGTGTCGAAAACGTGCTTGCGCACTCACTACATTTAATTCTTTTTTTATTTGTTTTTACTTTTATTATTAGTATTTGACACTATTTGTTTTTTCGTATTTTATTTTTATTTCAAATTTGGTAAGGAATTTGGATGTAATGCTCAGGCAAATCTTGTTTAATTTATTTTTCTTCATAACATATCTTTTTTTCATAGTTTGCTTTGTTTTTTTTTTGTTTTTTTTTTGTTTTTTTTGTTGTTTTTTTTTTTTTTTTTTTTTTTTTTTTTTTTTTTTTTTTTTTTTGTTTTTTTTTGGGCCGTGTTCGGCCCGAACGGCCGAACGCATCCCCAAGGGGTCCCATACATTCGGGCGTTCGGGTTCGGGTGTTGGTTACCCTGTATAGATATATATATATATATTATTTTAAATTTTATTTTGGATTTTAAATTTGGTAAAGAATTTCGATGCGCCCACCTGCTGTAGCAGGTATCGCACCTGCTGGTGGGTGCAGCTCCACCGCATGTTCCCTCATTGGAGGCTTGAGCATGGATGCAGCTGCTACGGGGTTCCCCCTAATATTACAATGACAATAAAAAAAAAGGCCTGAAAGTCCGTCCTGTCCAGATTTGACAGGTAATTGAATTGGTTGGGCTTAAACCAGCAGTACCTTTCCCGCCTGGGAAAATAGCGGGCCTCGGGTAGGCGTCCGACCTTTCCAGAGGCCGAAACGACATGACGGCCGCCGATCGGATTTATCAAAGGCAGTCGTCGTCGGACCCGACCTCCGAAGATTCAGGAGCTTGGGAAAACTGCCAGTTTTCCCTATTGTCCCACGCGGGAAAGGTACTAGTGCAGCCAGAATTAGCCTTAAAAAAAAAAAAAAAAAAAAAGTTGTTCAGTTTATTTTTCTGCATAACATAGTTTTTTTCCAGATTTTTTGGATTTGTTTTTTTTTTTGTTGGGACCTTCCCTTGTCCTTGCACGGGCTGGCCACCCTGGACCCGGACGTGAAATACAAAACTCAAAAGAAAAAGACCTATATTCAGTTTGAGTATGCTGCACGTGCTCGGGGTGACCTCTTTGTGTCTAAAACCTCGCGGGGCGCAATCCCACTAGCAAGGAGGATTGTTTGGCATGCTGAGGGCCTCAACCACCCGACTAGGAGCCCGGACAGCCCAGACCCTTGCCAAGCGACCGCCTTCCCCCCCCCCCTCCGGCTGACTTTTAGGGCCTTGGAGAGTGGCTTCCCAGACTGGTGCGTTTGTGTATTCTACTATTTCGCCTGTTCTGAGTCCAGCCTATTCAGTTTGCTTGGCGTGTCGCCCTTGCGCAGGGGCCATGCTAATCTTACTTCTCTGTATCGTTCCAATTTTACCGTATGTCTCAAAGGACCATGCACATATTTTGTCTGTTGAACTCTGTTCCGAGTCCAGGCGTGCATGCATTTTGTGTTCGTTCTCAATGCAGTTTTTGTTGTCAGTTTGTTTGTTGTTGTTGTTTTCTTTTTTTTGGTCTGGAGGAGTTCCCAGGACTTTGGGCGTCACAGCACGGCACACGAAATGAAGAACAAAACGAGTGCATCTTCCCACAGAAAATGACCAGGTTCATTGGTTCGGTATAAGTAGTAACGAGTGTATATTTTGGCACCTCTCACGGGCAGATGCACTCGTTTCGTTTTCGTTTCGTGTGCCGTGTGGCGAGGGGCCCTTTGGCCTATCCTGACCTCTGGTGCGTAATGTTTCACTTTTCTGGCCCGGCTCATTTTTTGAGTCTGGGGCTGTGTCCGACTTTGTGCACCAATCCGTTTTTCTCTTCCAGGCCCTCTTGCTGAGATGGAGGGAGGGCCTTGACGTGCGTGAGTAGGGACCCAGGTCACACGTGTACAGGCTTCAGCCTGAGTTTGCTCACACATGGGCTCTCACCTGGACCGCCTCCTGATCTGGATGAGATCGGACGGCCCAGATGGGAGGCTGACCTGGTTGGCGGCTGGCCCAGTAGTATTTAGCAGAGGCCGGCCTAATAGTTGCTGTATACTTCTCGCTTCATTCAGAGGCACCATGCTGGACGCGCTGGAGCAGCCCAGGGCTAGTGGAGGCAGGAGGAGCTCAGCACTAGAGGAATAGAGTAGCGCTGTAGAGGTAGAGAGGAGAAATGAGGTGATGGTGGAGTCGTCCACTCACCTGGCACCATATCCATGGAGGTCACCAATTTGAGTCACATTGTCATTTCGGCTGCATCATCAGTCAGTCCTATCTGATCTGAGTCTTCCGTTGTGTCACATTGTGCCTTTTCCTTGTATTGGTGATCTTTGGACTTGCGTGCCGAAGGTTCATTCTCGGGGTTAAGCACCTGAATCTGGACATGTTCTAAGCAGAGATGCAAAAAAGCAGATCAATGATCAATGACAATTATCTGCGGCTCTCCGCAAACACGTACAGATTCAGGTGTTAAATCCAATCCTCTTTGCTTGTGGGACTGCAATTTTGGAAACCATGACTCCGGCAGACCGTAAATTGCCTAATTTGTTCGCATCCCTAAGGCTGCGGTATAGTGGGCTTCGGCGTCTGTGTCAAGGTGTTGCATTTTTGGCGGCGGGCGACCACGATGCAAGTGGGTTCTTAGGGGGGGGGGGAAATTTGGGGGACCAGTCCTTCAAGATATTGCGGACTACCAACAGCTAGCTCTTCTAGAACCGAGACTTTTGGAAAAAGGAAGGACCGGTCCTCGGGTGGAAGTGGACCCCAAAAAGAAGTGAGGGCATGTGAACTGCAAAAGGGCCCTCATGCCCAGGTGTTGAGGCCTGTCTTCTCAAAACAGGGGGTCAGGCGCAACCAAACAGGCGTTTTGCAAGAGGCAACTTCGGCGATTCTCTGTGCTTGGAGGAGTCCACAGAAAAATCTGAATTTTTGAGAATCCATAGATGATGTCGTGTTCTTTCCTGGAAAAATATCAGAACATTTTCAAAAAATCATTTAGACTGCGAAATAATTGTCGTGCCGATTCGGCACATTTTCCATTTTTGCCACTCAGCCATGTGTGGGCCAACTGAAAAAGTACTCCAAATTCAGTGAGTATTCGCGCTAAGAAGAACGAGTGAAAAAACCTGAAAATTGGAGTACTCGTAGATTTTGTTGTGGTCTTTCTAAAAAAATGCTAAATAAATTTTAAAAAATCATTCCAACTATGAAATAGATCGTGGCCGCAATTTGACCCATATTTCAATTTTGTCATTCAGCCTCTCTCTCTCTCTATCTCTCTTTCTTTCTCTCTCTCACTCTCTGTCTCTCTCTCTCACTCATATCAACAAATGGAACAAAACTCTCTCTCTCTCTCTCTCTCTCTCTCTCTCTCTCTCTCTCTTGCGTGCTCTGGATCTCATTGCTTTGGCTACCTTAGGGCTGCGTTCACTGCGCCCACGCGGTAGACAATGTTTAATGGATACGTCTAAGTTCGAACTGTGATTGTATCTTGGCCTCCTTATCATGTCGTCCTNAAAAAAAAAAAAAAAAAAAAAAAAGAAGAAGAAGAAGAAGAAAAACATAGGTCTTTAGGGCTGCATTCCCTGCGCCCACGCGGTGGACAAATTTTTTTGCACCCGAACAAGTTGAACCGCCAGGCCAGTACACTGAAAGCACGGCCTCCGTGTATACTGCAGAAAGTTCGGGAGGAGGGGGCTCGTACTGGTGGTTCATGAGGGCAGCCAGCTATTAAAGGGGGGGTTGTTGAACTCTCAAATTTGTATATATATACTATGTATATACATGGCAAATATGTTCTGAATCACTTAATATATACATTAACAAAATTTATTTAAATTACAGCGTACAATGTACATGATTATATAAGGTCGTCTAGTTTGCAGCTTCGCACGTAGTAAAGCCAGAAGGAGAGTTCTGAAATGCAGGGGCTGAAAGAGGGACGGACAGTTTCAGCGAGGGAGCATGAATGCATATACAATCATCCAGCCAACACTTCTTCTTCTTCTTTTTCTCCTCTTGCTGGTAGGGACTGCCTATCGTCCCAGTCCCTACCAGGCCAGGTATTTGAGTCCGTTGGGACCCGGACTCGGGTCCTACCGGGCTGGACTTCCTGGAGGCACAGCTAAGGTGTGGAAATATCAAGAGAGGAACAAAAAACTTGGCCAAGGCATCATCAACAAAAACACACCAGAAAATGGGTGAAGTGCACTCCTCCTCCTCCTCCTCCTCCTTTCCTCTCTGTCTCTCTCCCTCTGCTTGTTTTCAAACTGGATAGTGAGCAAATTTGACACATGCTGTGTTCTTTTCTGGGAAGCTTTGTATCTGTTCACCGACATGGTCTGCATCGAACCTTTTTGATGGACTCTTTTTTATGGAATTTGTTGAAGGTGGTATGGGGTCTGGACCTTCACACAGGAAGACCTGCAAAGCTGGTCAAGGTGCAAATGGAGCGTGAAGTGGAGTTCGCAACTTTCAATCCGACAAATGAGGACCAGATATGCACCAGTGGGGATGGGAATGTGACAATTTGGACTATGACAAAAAATTTTAAGGTGGGTATCACTGGTTACTCGCCAAATTCTTTTTTTTTGTTTGTTTTTTTTTTAAATCTTTTTCTACAAAAAAAGATGGAGGGGTCGCCTAAGCAAGCTTACCCGTCTCCGTGGCCCAGAAAATTTAATTTAATATCATGTGGTCCTATGGACCACGGATCAGATATTGAACTGATCAGAGCAGATACAGTGCACTTGATCTGGCCTTTCTAAAAGTTCACCCGTTGTGCAATTTCACTCCTACCTCCACGCTCGACACAGAAACACAGCACGTGAGCACAGATCCCAGTAATCGTTACACAGAGACTTGGACATGCAGGCAAACGGCAATCACACTCAGAGCACGGAAATGTCAGCTGTTACGATCCTGGCTAATTTCGAAGTGTAAAATTCAAAAGAAAGCACAATGTTGTCCAATTGCCAAAGAAGCGAATGAACTTGAAAGGAGGGAGAGATAAAGATGAAGAAGAAGAAGAAGAAGAAGAAGAAGAAGAAGATGTACACCAGCAAAAGACCAATGACAATCCCCCCTTCTGTGATCCTGGCCAATTTCGAAGTACACATTCATCAGAAAGTAAAATGCTGTCCAATTGCAAAACGAAATGAATGAACTTGAGAGAAGAGAGAGAGGGAAAGAAGAAGAAGAAGAAGAAAGAAAGAAGAAGAAGAAAGAAAGAAAAAGAAGAAAGTAAGAAGAAGGAGATGATGTACACCAGCATAGATTTATGATAATGCTCTTCTTCTTCGCCAACCACTCTCCTCCTCCTATCTCCTCCCCTCTTATTCAATCAAGAAATAATAATAATAATGTTGAATGGCTGAACCAGAATCAATGTCCGAATCCCTCTTCAACTGCAGGTATCACATGAGGTCCAGCATAGCCATGGCCGCCCTTCTTCCCCCTTCCTCCAAGGCCGGGGCTATGGCGGACTACCAGAGCACCGCCCTGCTTTGCAAGCGACAACACAAAGCAGCTATGACTGCTCTAGCTCAGGCCGCCATGACTGACTCTGCCTCGAATCTTCTTGGTGTAGCTTTATGCCAACTGGGGCCTTCCTGCTGCAGCGCCCGCCAAGGTGATGAAGATGGCAACCACCATAGCCAGGTAAGTACCTCTGGCGCTCCCCCTTCCTAGTCCTGGTCTTCTTCTCCCTGTGTCCTTGCTCCTTCCCCAGCAGTGCTGCTCCAAGCTAGTGCTGCTCCAGCCAGCGCTCCAACCACTGTGTCACAAAACTTGCACACCCAGAATGAGGATGAGCACCTTGCTCTTCCTGGAGATACAGCGGCCTGCTTGCCTCTTGGCGAGTGACTTCCTAGGCCACGCGGCCTCCAAGCAACCGGTACCTCCTCACTTTTGGAGGGAAACATCATTGCAGACTCTGATATTGCCGTACAGGCCCTAGACTTGGACTGGTTGGACTGGTACCCGCCTAAACGTAGCCTACAACTACTTGGCCTCTCAAAAGGCCAACTTTTGTCTTCTTCTGCTCGGCCTTGAGTACCCAGCACATCTACCTCTACTTGGTGTGGTACCGGCCTACCTGCTACTTGAGTGTTTTCCGCTGCTCTTAAGTGTCGCGGGCCTCTTTCCCCGCCACTTGAGTGTTTTCCCCGCTGCAACCCTCAATGTCACGGCCACAGGTAAGTACCGGCCCTTAGGGCCTTTCCGAAAAACCAAGTGCCCTTCTGGGTCACACACACAAGCCGACAAGCACTCAGAAAGGCATGCAGACCAGCAAGCATGCACCCACACAGACTTAAAAAACTCAGCAACAAGCGGGGAACTCAGTAAAGCATACACTCCATGAGCAAAACTCAGAAATCAGTTGTGTCTCAGTCCGTGTTTGGCAGGTCATTACACTACCTCCCCCCTCAAGAGTGCGGTCCCTTCGAGCGAGTAACTCATTCTGAGTCCCCAACAAACGCATCGTAAGCGAACATAACGAAGATATTTCGTGAGTACTTAGTAGCAGTGAGTTTTGCAGAGATTTTTGGTACAACATTAGAGGCTATCTGTCGTTCGTGTGCTTTCACAATGCGAGGTGCGCTGTGCAACAGTTCCTTCTTAGAGATCCAATAGAGGTTGTCCAACGGGTGGTACATGAAATGAATCTGATATTGTCTGTTACGTCCCTTCCCTACGTGCTTTTTGATTCTATCGATCTCGTGACCACCATTGATTGCACAAGGAATCATGTCTTAACGATAGTCGAAGGACTCAACATCACAATATATATACAACTTTGATGCATGAAAGACTGGGTACGTGCGTAGATGAGGAGGCACGACAATTACATATGAAGGACCAAAATCATCATTGCCAATCACGTCCAGAAATTCCACGGACCATGATAGAGAGGGAGAAGTTTGCGTGACACTCCTTCTTCCGAAAATTCAGACATCTTGACCCAGACATAACTTCCCACTTTAATACTCGAAGGTTGGCGTTTCTTATTCGCATGATGGATCATGGCGCGGTGTCGCTTGGTCATTGCTGCAATGACAATCTTGAGCAAGCGATCATACTTGGCACTGAAGCCAGGCCTGTTGGGTGTTAGACCAGCCGACTGTTCAGGGAATAAGTAGGAGAGCGGATTACGAATCTGCCAACCGTAATGCAACCTATTTGGCGTCATGAGGGTGGAAGAATGGATGGAGTTGTTGTACAACCCCTTGACCGAATACACCTCTTCATCCCACGTTTCCTGATCCGAAATGATTAAAGCACGAAGAAGTTGAAACACGGTCTGGTTAATCTCCTCAGCAAAACTGTTGGCTTCGGGATGCCGGCCAGATGTCATGGTCAATTTGAGGCCAAGGAGTTGGGTCGTGAAGTCCTTCCATTTAATACTTATGAAGCGCCGGTCCCGATCACTCACAAGGGTTTTCAGGGTTTCGAACTTCAAAATGTACTTTTGGTGGAATTCACGGATCACAACTTTTGTGGGGCATGAGGTGGCAATGAAATCAAATTTAGGGATTTGGAAAAACGATCAACAATCACCATCACTTGCGAATAACCATTCTTACTTATATTTCCCTGTCTGTGAAGTCGATAGAGACAGACTCGTCGGAACCGTTGGCAATGGAAAGAGGTTTAAGCAGCCCCATGGACTTTTGTCTTGATGGTTTGATTCGTTGACAGATTTGACACTCGGCCACAAACTTTTTAGCAGATTTTTTTATACCAGGCAAAACAAACTGTTGCAATAGGTTTCGTAAGTCTTTGTCACGCCGAAGTGTCCACTCCGATCGTGAGCCAAGTCCAAGAAGTGTGTGCGGAGAGGCTCATGGTTCGGTACACACAAACGGTCATTCTTTCCATAGTGTCGAAAAACCAGTCTTTCACATTCGTGAAAATTAGGCTGACTATTGGGGTCATCTTGCAACTGCTCAAGAATCGGACTAAGGTCCGGGTCCTTGGCAGTTTGCTCCACGAGCTCCTCCTTCAGTTTCTTCCGGAGGTCGTAGAAGTTCACAAGGCAAGTCATATACTCGGGGTGGCGAGACAATGCATCAACAACTCGAGTAAGACAACCTTTTTGTGTTTCAATTCAAAATAAAACATGCCAATCTCATGGAACTAGCGAGTCAACGTAGGGGACAAGGTGGTTTCCTTCTTGATCCATTTCAAGGTCTCATGATCTGAGAAGACCTTGAAACGACGTCAAAAAGATGGTGCTTCCAATCATTCAATGCCTTGCGCAGAGCATAGAGCTCGCACTTGTAGGTGGAAGTAGCTACCTTTTCGTTGGGCATACGTTTGCTGTAGTACTCGAACGGCCGCAAGCCATCACCGTCATTTTGTTGCAGCACTGCGCCAATCCCATACTGGCTCGCATCCATAGTGACTACAAATGTGAGTTTGGAATCTGCAATGCGGAGTGCATGATAACTTACCAATGCCTCTTTCAAGGCTTGAAAAGCGGTCTCACATGTTGCATCCCATGTGTAAGATATGTTCTTGCTTGTTAGTTTGGACAGTGGGCGAGCAACAATAGAAAATTGTGGCAAAAACTTTCGATAGTATGATGCAAGACCAAGGAAAGAACGCAATTCGCGGACGTTCGCGGGTTGAGGCCACTTGCAAATGACCTCAACTTGGTTGCCTCAGGCTCAAAGCCTGCAACATACAACCGGTCCCAAGATAGATGACGTTGTCCCTCCCAAACTCAGATTTCTCTAAGTTGAGATCGAGTTGTGTTTTCTTGAGGATGGTGAACACATCCTCAAGGTGCCTCGTATGTTCCTCGATTGATTTGCTGAAATCAGAATGTCATTGAGATACATAACCACAAACTGACCAATCTATTCACGGAGGCTCTTGTCCATAAGGCTTTGAAAGGTGGCCGGTGCGTTCGTGAGACCGGCATTACGATGAATTCGTAAAGTCGGTCGCGTGTCTTGAACACAGTCTTGTGCTGGTCTGCAGGATCGACTTTAATCTGGTGGTACCCAGACTTGAGATCGACCCTGGAGAAGACCTTGCACCCACCTGCAACATCAAGCAAATCATCTATGCGTAGCAATGGGTATCTATTATTCCTTGTCATGCGGTTTAAATCGTGATAGTCAATACACATACGAAGTTTGCCTCCTTTCTTTGAGACTAACAAAACGGGTGCACAAAATTCAGATTCGCTGAGCTTAATCCATCCCCTGTCGATCATCTCATTGATCTGTTTTCGGAGTTTTACACAGCCCTTTGGAGGAACAACACCTTCAACCATCTCAATCGTGTGTCGGACCGATCGCATGGGAACTCCACGGGGTTTGGCCAGAACTTCCGGAAATCTGCTAAATAATATCAAAAGGAAGTCAACGTTTGGTTGACAATTTTTCAAAATAGTTCCAACCAATAAAAATTTACGCAAGAATTATAAGTAAAAATAATACCTCTAAGTTCATGATAAACGATATGATTAAGATATGGCACATGAAAACGGTAACTCTTAACACAATAGCTCGTATATCAAAACAATAACAAAGTACGACACAATTAATATCAAGATATTATGAATTTAAACCTAACTTGAACGTTCAAAAATAACCAAAATAATCTCAAGAATGAAATCCGAAAATAATTTTATCGAGACAAAATGATAATAAAATCAATCAATGAAGATAAAATAATGAGAATACAATAAATATATTCACTATAAAATAAAATACCCGAGTGTCGTTCCGCTAGGGACAACGGTAGTTTGCCGTTATCCCCGGCAACGACGCCACCTGTCGAGCGCATCGGCCCTCGCACGGGCGAGGGCCCTCCCTGCCACGTCACGCAGGAGTTGAAACAAAAACCAAAACCAAACAGAACAACTCAAGAACGACGCAGAATATCCCGCATGCCGTCGAAACGGGTGCGGTCGCGTCGTCCCCTCGCAGCTCTGGCCGGGTGCGCCAGCTATACATCTCGCGGTCCCCTACGACAGGATAGGTTCCCGCGGGGCATAAGCTTTCTTCCCTAAGGGGCTGTCACCACCCTTAGGGGCGTATCCCTACCGAGCTACCGACCCACATGCGAAAGCTTTTAAATGCAGTTGCAGAGGTAGGTCAGCCGAGGGCGTTTTCTCGTTCGCTGTAGTATAGATACGCTTGGTTAACGCCAAGCGGACCCGAACGTCGTCCGTTCCTAGGGCGCTGATCTCCTAAGGACGAAGCGTACGCCGGTCGACTAGGACGGTCTCAACCAAGCGTGAAACCCAAATAGTTATCCTAGTCAATTAGACATATAGCCAAAGAGAATTATAACATTCACAGACAATTACATCAAAAGAAGTCGACTGTAGTCGACAGGAATATATATCCCATCGAAAATTATAATTGAAAGAAACAATTCATCATTCAATAACACAAGATCATAATAAAATCCGACCACCGCGGGTCGCACACCATAAAACAATCAAACAACCACCAACAACGAGTTGACTACTGATAATAACCTCAATGCAACCGACAAGGTAGTCGGTCGCCTTAGTTTTGACTTGATGAAACTTGTCGCCAAAGTCATTCATTCTGACCTACCGCCGACCTAAGACTAGGCACACATTCTCATCTTTACCCATGATCAGGGGCATTGCTTGAAGTGTTAGATGTCTCTCCCTCTAGGAAGTGGTCTGGGGTACTCCTCCTCCTCGCCCGAGCACAGGACTCGGATCTCAGAAGTCGGGCCGTCTCCACCGAACCGGCAAAGTACCTCCCCGTAGAAACGGTCCACTCTGGGTCGATAACAGGGCCGGCTCCTAAAGCAACGAACCCCCGCCCCAGATGCTTCGTGGAGAAAGAGAATGTGTTCACCCCAAGTAGGTTTTAACTGTTCTCGTTTTCTAAACTCAAGGTAATTTGGACAGAAAGAGTCAGAGGTGATAGAGAATGAGAATCACTTAGACATGTATAGGTAGATAGGGTTATTCGAGATAAAACGGGTTTCCTTGGGAAGAGTTAAATTCGTTATACTTTGATTCTCTTTCCGTCATCAAGATTTCTTTTCTCACGACACCCATCGATTATCCTTCGAAAATAGCAAGCAAGTTCACTCAACTCACTGACGAACGAAAAAAGATAAGGGTCAAACTCGCCTTCATTTTGTCAAATAGCATTTTCGTCGTTTTACTCACCTGCACACCACGCACACAACACGATCAAAAAAAGACAAGCAAAGTCCCACTACTCACGTCAGACCCACCTTTTCACTCATGCATGACGCCCACAACCCCACTCAACCTTTCTCCTGAACATTCAAAGCAAAATGGTCAAGCAATGTGTGGGTGCACACATGTGTGAAGGGAGTCTGAGTCCTCCACTGACTGACCTTGAGTGAAGTGGTGTCGAACGCGTCGTGGCTCACTCAAGAAAGCCAAATGACATATACGCGTCGCCGAAGAAACCGCAGTCCCGAGGTAAATCTTGGACCAACTGTTTGTCCCAGTCTGTTCCCGACTCGCAAGTTTCACTCGCGGCAGTCCCAAGTGCGAAGATGGCAAGCCGCGCTCGTCCCAAAAAAATCCACCGCGTCCTGCGTCGATCCCAACTTGGGGGTCCCAAGTGGTCCCGCACTACTGCTAGTGTTGGGTAGTCCCATCTACAAAACATTTATTTCATATGGTGCATAAAAAATAAACCCGTCCGTCGCGCTCAGATTTCGTATCGTCGCATGTCGTCAACCGCCACCATGTCACGCTACTGCTGCCGTACACACCAATGGTAGCAGACCTTCACCAAGAAAAGCAGACGACGCGCCAAAACAGAAAAAAAACTTTCAGCGCCGTAAAAAAAAACGTCCACTGCCGCGCCGCACGTCCTACCGTCGTGGCGCATTTCCACTGCCGTGCTGAACTCTCGTCGGAAAATGGCAGCACGTCATCGCTCTGTGCCCTGTCAAAAAAAAAAAAAAAAAAAAAAAAAGGCCAGCGCTCCGCCGTGCCGTACCACCGTAGAAAAAAGACGGCGGCGCCTCGCCGTGCTGTACCACCGCAAAAAGACGGTAGCGCTTCGCCGTGCTGTACTACCGCAAAAAGACGGCAGCGCTTCGCCGTGCCGTACCACCGCAAAAAGACGGCAGCGCTTCGCCGTGCCGTACCACCGCAAAAAGACGGCGGCGCTTCGTCGTGCCGTACTACCGCAAAACGACGGCAGCGCTTCGCCGCGTTATACTCCCGTACCGTGAAAACAGCAGCGTCACTCTTCAAAACAAAGTGCCGCCGACGTGCCGTCAAAACCGCAGCGTCACCCCTCAAAATACAGGTGTCGGGCCGACGCCGTGGTATTTCGGCAGCATAACCCCACAAAAATGGGTTATGGTTGCCGAAAATATCGGCCGGCACACCTCCACCAGTTGTCGTGCTCCCCGCTGCTCCTTGCCACGCTCCACTGCCGCTCCTCACCATGCTGTCGCAGAGTCCCACCAGAGACCAGCTTGCCAAGGGGTGGAGCAGAGTGCTCCAGCCAAGGCTATGGCTGTCTCCTCCTTCGTCGCTCCGCTCCTTTGCAGTCCTCCAGCTCTGCCGGCAGCACTCCTGCCTCCTCTCCAGCACTCCAACAATGAGGTAAGTGTGCTGTCGCACACTGGCAGTCGGAGGCAAGTGTGAGGCAGCTGGGGGACAGCTGCCTCTTTTGTAGTGGCTCAGGAGGGCAGCAGCAGCCTCAGCTGCCCCCAGGCAAAATTCGTCACTTGCCTGGGGCTGTTGATCTGAGCCAGATCAACGGACTGAGGCTGTCTCACCTCAGCCACACGCTTAGGGTGGCAGTTGTACTCAACTGCCCCCCTCTTTTTCTCCCTTTTCCCTGCACTCAGCCCCACACTTAGTGCAGGTTCAGCGGGAAAATGGCTGTTTCCAGCCAAGTTCCCCTCATTACCCCTTCATCTCCCCAGCCTCTGGCCTGAGTCACATTCAGGCCAGTTTGGCCTGTATCTGATCATAGCCGCGGCCACATTCGTGGCCGTGGCTTTTCCCTTTTCCCTTTTATCTTCTTTTTCTCTTTTCTCCCTTGCCCTCCCCTGAAAACGGGGATGGCAGTTGTCAGATTGGGAGAGGTAGGGAAAGAACTCGTGAAAATTCACGAGTTCAAATCCCGACAGGCTTAGAGCGGGGTGCAAAAAGTACCCCGACTTTGAAGAATTTTAGAAAAATATTCGCTGGATAACAAAATCTGAAAAATCCATGCACATGGCCTAGGTGCCTGACTACCTACAGAAAAAAACTCAAGGTCAACGAAATTGTTTTGCGCCACCAAACAAATAGTGGCGCAAACTGAAAAATACATTTTCTCAGAAAAACTCAGATCCCGTTTTTCGTTTTCTTTTTCTTTTCTTTTTCTTCTTTTCTTTTCTTTTCTTTTTCCTTCTTACCCCCCCTAACAACGGGGAGGCAGCTGGCAGGTCGGGAGGAGCAGGTCCTCCTCTCCCCATCCTCCCATTTCTCTCTCTCTCTCACTCTCCACTCAACTCCTACCCCCTCTTGCTTTCCGTGTGTGAACTGTGGGCCGCGAGATTTCAAGATCTCGCGACCACAATCATCTGTCCAAAACGAAGTGGGAGTCTTTGCGCTCCCACATAGTCTCCAAGACGAAGTGGGAGCCTTTGTGCTCCCACACAGTCTGCAAAGACTGTTTTCCCTTTTTTTTTTTTTTTTAATTTTATGACGTCGGCTTTGCCAACGGTCACGTCCCATCGTGGCCTACTATGGCACATCGAGGTACAAACCCGGGTTCAAATCCCTATCGGGATTTTGGACCGTTTCTCGATTTATGTGTGTCATCCTTGCGCAAGGGTCAAGCTGCAGCCAGGCGGCCGTTCCCGGCCATGAGATTTGATGATCTCGCGGTCGAGAATGATCGTGCTTCATGCTGGTGCAGTGGGCAGCTCCAAAGGAAAAGGAGCTAGCCCAGACTGCTTATCGCCGGCTCGATCCCTGAATCTGCGGGTAGAAGTTTGGTAGTTGTACCTACTGGGCTACCTCCTATCTCATATAGGGATGAGAGCAGCCCACATATATGAAGGGTTACGGGGCCCAGCAGGCTGCCATCCAGGCCAGCGGACTTCTACTGCTTCAGTCTGCGGCTGGCTGGTTGCTGGCTGATTGCTGGCTGATTGCTGGCCGACTGGCTGCAGGCTGATTGCTGGCCGGCT